ATAATAAACTAAAATTTAAAAGAAAAGGAAGAAAAAGTATAGAGATAAAAAGGAAGGGGGAAAAAAGGGAAAAAAGCTAGAAAAACTGAAAGAATAATTGAAGAAGTGACTCCCAATCTACTTTACAGCAAGTACAGGCAAACCTGATGTCTTTCTATCCCCTTTAAAGTTACATTGCATGGTTAGTTCACTTGTGCCCATGTTCCAACCCTTATCCATCCACAAATCCACAAATCATTAATATTTCTGTCCAATGTCACCAAAAAGTTCATACAGGGTTTCCAGAATTTTATACAAATATTTCTTATTTTAACTCTGATCAAACAAGTCAACTTTATATTCTTTTGTTTTGCCCCACAGTCTGACATTCATGATCCTTAAATTAACAATGAGGTGCTGTTGCAGAAATCGATCTTCATCCAAATGTTCTTTCTCCCATCTCAAACATTTTTCCCAAGACTTTGACTGCCCTCTTCTGTAAGCCCAGAAGTAGATCATTTCCCAGATCATATTTCATCTCCTGGCTTTATCTTTGCATTTCCTCTCCCTTTGGCATCTCTGTCTGACAGTCCACAACTTCTGTTATATTTTCTTGTGTTTCTACATAAGGTTTAGATGGGTTGACTTCTTCATTCTTTCGCCCTGCAGATTCTTCCAAATTATTGTTCTTCCCATCTTTCAATCATTCCTTTAGATCGTTTGGAATAATGCATTTATATGAGCAGATATTTTTGCTGTTATTCTAGTTGCTAGCTTTTTTCCCATTTATTCAAAAATCCTCTGAAAGTGTCAAGTGTAATACCTTTATCTTTCATTTCTGTGTGTTTCACTGCTGTTCATCAAATCCCATAATAAAAGACAAGCTTCTCTCTCTCTCTCTCTCTCTTTTTCTTTTCCCTGCCTGGGATCTTTACCTCTCTCTAGGATTTTGTATGTCTATGCTCACATGATCTGTCTCAAATTTATTTTGCTTCTTGGTTTTGAGAAATCAACCAGTCACTCTTCTTTGAAAGACTAAACAATTTCTGTTCCCATGAACATTCAATTGATGTATTTATTACAAAAACTTTATCACAAAAGCCTTAATATTAGAAATTTTTCTGGTTCCTTATGTTCATTTAAAACTTTCTTAAGTTAAATTCTTATCCAGCATTTTCCTATTAACTTTATATTCATTATATAAAGCATCTTTAAGCCTTTCCTTCCTTCCTTCCTTCCTTCCTTCCTTCCTTCCTTCCTTCCTTCCTTCCTT